TCATGTACTTTGTCGAATGTTCAAGTTCTTACTAGAAATAGGTTACGCTGGTATATAAAAGAAGGGAGATGTAAGAGATAGATAGTGAGTAATTGAACTGCAGTCACACGGTATTGTTGAAGATAACGTTCGTTCGTTACAGTGTTGTTTTAGCGCGAGTATTGAGATTAAGTGTATCGCAGAGTTATATTCGGAAAGAATAAACCAGTTTTGTTAAGTAAAGACTTGTGTCGTTAAAGTTTCGTCGGAACGAAGTTACAGAAAATCAATTAACAAACGGAGACGTAACAAATTGGTGTCAGAAAGTGAGATAAAAAAGAAAATGGAAACGAGAAGCGGCAAATCAAACTACAGCCTAGCAGACTTAATGGCAGCAATACAAGAACAGCAAAAGAAACAAGAAGAGAGACAACAACAGTTGCAAGAAAAATGAAATTGAATATGTTTATAGAACACAGCGCTGCAATCGTTATGGAAGTGTTCTAGGGATTGTGTCTATATACTAATATGTAAGCGGTATTTTCAAACCTTTCAATATTATTTTGGTAATACTAATAGACTGTATGAAAAACACGAATTTCCCTTTTTGCTAAAGAAATTATTTTGATTGAGCTTACTTTTTAATATTTGGCTTATAAAGTTATATGAATATCGTAAAATGAACAGGGAAGTTGTAAGACAGCAATTAAAATTAAAATCAGTGAATGCAAGAACTGAAACTTGAAAGAGCTGCAGAAGTGATTGATGGTCAAGATACCAGATTCTTTACAATTTTTGGTTAATTAATTTAGAAGCAAATAAGACTGGTTAGGGTTCGGGATAGCGTCAAATTTAGGTTACTGTCATCACTAATTAGTTGATTGTAATTGTAAATATATTTCATGTGGTACAACCTATATACAAATGGTTTTAATTTGGGGTTCTGTTTTTAATTAAATTAAAAATATGAATGAATATGAAAGTTGATTTTAAAAATGGGCTAAGTGTTTTCTGCTGAGATCTTGAATTGGAATTCACAAATGCAGACTTTACAGAAGAGGATACAATTAATGTAGATTTTATAAAAACATAGGAAAATTCCAGTATTTTGAATTAAAACATTTTTTTAACTTTATCATTTACGTTTTTAACTACTTAAGAGTTAGATGAATAAAAGGTTTTGTATACTTTATTAATATCTTGATCATAGAGTGATTAGACCTTTTTAAGTTTTAGCAAGACTGAAAATATAACTTTGTGTTGTTTTAGAGGTATGATCCTAAAGTGGAGAATTTATTTTCTATTTTAACATGTTGTCCCATTGCACATTCAAGTTTGGTATATAATTAAATATAACTATAACAGAGAAAGTAACAGCTGGTTTTTCATAACTATATGTATTAATGAAAAAATTAACTTTAATCAAGGTTGTGATATTTGATAAAGTATTGCATATTATGTGATTTGCTGATATTGTGAGAGAGCTTACCATACATTCTTACTGCCAAATGGTAAATTTTTAATTATTTTGGTAATGAGGTACTTGTTGAAATTAAAAGATTGTGGTCTGATTTTGTTTCCCGCTTCCTAGTGATCATGATATGAAAATTAAAAGTATAATAAGTGAAATTGGTAATAATTTATCTTGTATGCAGTAAGACTTGTTGCTAACGTCTATATACTCTGTAAAATTAATTCAATACAAATTATATAACATACAAATAACAAAGGACTTTTTGGTCCTTCCAAGCTGTCCTTGCACATTAATCTATATATTTCAGGAAATAATTTCCTTCTTTAACAGCACCCCTCCCCCCTTTCCTGGTTCATAGATAAGTCTGGAAGTTTATAATGCTATATACTGGGTTTTGATACCCGTAGTGGGCACAGCAAATATAATCCATTGTGTAGCTTTGTGTATAAAAACAAAATGTCTATGAAGGCTTATAACACTAAATGCTAGGGTTGATACTCATGGTGGACAATGCACAGGTAGCTCATTGTGTAGCGTTGTGCTTAATAACAAACACCCCCTTAAAAAATGTGAAATACTGGCATCCACTACTGCTGATGGCAACTCATTCCAATCACCATGTTAGAAAAATAAAACTGTCTTTACTTTAGCCCAACTTGTTATTTTTGAACTCTTAAACTTGTCTCCTCTTGGTTTATTTTTATTCAGAGAATACAACTCAAACCTCTGAGGCCTTTATCCTACCAGTCTGCTGGATAATCTTGTAAACTTCAATAAGTCACCTCTTACCCTTCTTCTTAAGAAATCTCAGCCTATCCTTTTAAGATAACTCTTTCATCCAAGGAATCATTCTAGTAGCCCTCTTCTGAACCCTTTCCTATAAATCAGTATCCTTTCTTAGGTAAGGAGACCAAAACTGTATATAAAAATAGTGATATGTTTAGAGAAATAATTACCTTTTTTTGACTTGAAATCAGTTTATCTATATATATATATACCTTAAAATGTTATTAGCTTTACTACTAACAATTGAGTATTGCTTAAATGGCTTGAGTGACTTATCCATCACTATGCTAAGATCCTTTTCTTTAGTCATGCTACTGAGTGTGTCCCCATCAATTAAAAATGTGATCTAAATTTTGATAACCCAAATGCATTACCTTGCACTGGTCTAAATTATTTTGTAGTACCTCAACATCCTTGAGACAGCTAGAAATATTGAGTTTTATGTCATCAGTAAACTTTACTAATTGTTTTATTATTATCATTAATGTAAATAAAAAGGCTCAAATACTGATCCCTGAGGCATTCTACTAGCTATTACAGGGTTTGCTTTTTTTTTTATCCAGTACGTCACTAGCAAATCTTTTAAATTCTTTAACAGATATAATGTTGAAAACACTACAAGCTTAAAATTATTTGGTATCTCTACATTTTTGTACTGTATTTGGGTTTGAAATTAGTTTTATATGCCTAAGTAGACATAAATATTTAGTTATATTTTAGTAATAAAACAAAAGTTTAAAGAATATTGAAATATAGATTGACTTGCCAAAACTTTTCTAACTTGAAAGCAAAGAATGGTAACCATAAATCTAAATCTAGTCCACATTGCTTATAGTCATACTACAGTTTATTGTTGTTTGTCTATGCGTGCTGATGAATAGTTTAGTAAAATACATATTGTTGAAGTAAGAATGACCTTGAATAATATTGATTAGATAAAATTAATGCACATATAAATTAAAGTTCTATAAAAATTCACAATCTTTTTCATATTTCATTTTTAATAAAGTAAGAAAGAATAACATTTCTGATTGATTATGTTTATCATTTAGATCAGTGGTACCGACAGAAGTTTGGAATATGTTCAGGTAGTGCTATGGTGGATAGTTGTTCATTTGACCGTCATGGCCAAATGCTCTTAAGAAATTGTCACCCTTTGATTGTCATGAATTATACCAAATGTTTTTGATGTTGATTGTTGTAATTATAATGGATTTTTTATAGGACTCAAAACAGATTAGTCTAAAAATGACAGTATAAAAAAAGTATCATTATTTTCAATGTACATATTTTTTTAAGCTGCTGTAAATTATTTTGAGTATTACACAATTGTTTTTATTATTATTACACCATGCTATATGGTAAGAATTTAATAAACTTACATTATATAATGTAGTTAAACAACAGAAACAAATATCTTAATACATTTTTTATTTTATAAAACTTTATTTGGCATTAGAAACCTGAAAAAATATAAGATGGAAAGCAACAGGCCAGGCACAAGTGTAAAAAGGCCTTTCTGTCAAGGAAAAGGATACTCTGGTAGAAGCAATTGGAGACCTTATTATCAAAACAGAAGGCCTTACAGAGGAGGATACAGAGGGAGATCCTATAAAAGGGGAATCTCCCAAGCTAAACACACCACTGATAATGATGGGCTACTTCAGTCACAGATACTAGAAGCAGGAGAAAATCTAAGCCAATTTTCCCAACCAATGGCAAGAGTTGTTGAATTTTGTTCTAAAGCTGGGCCTTACAATGGATGGAAGTTGTATCTTCCTGATGAGGATTATGACTCACAAAGCAACACTGTAAAAAAATTGCAGCTACTTGAAGAATACTGTAAAACATTGCAGCTATCTGGAAAAAAGGAGGAAATAGAGAATAGACAGTCTTTTACTTTTGATGTGAAAGCCTTAGCTGAGGATGCAGTTATAAAAGAAAACTGGTCTGATCTAATGACAGAGTTAAAGGAAACCCCTGAAAGGGTGATCAGCTACCTTGGACTTGCGCTGCATCATCTTCTTAGTAAAGAAATCTTTAATGAACTCACGAATGAGCAAAATGATGGTAGCGTTTCTATTCAATTTATAACTGATAAATTTAATGTGCCTAAAATTCATGCTCGGCTCTCTGGATATGAACCCCTCACTCAGATGAAAAATCTGAAGGCTAATTATTATGGAAAATTTGTTTCTGTAAAAGGAACAGTTGTTCGAGTAAGCACTATCAAACCATTGTGCACAAAGATGGCTTTTAAATGTGGAAACTGTAGTAACGTACAAGTTATAACTCAGCCGTATGGAAAGTACACATTACCTATAAAATGTGCTGTTAGGGGTTGTAGGTCTCGAACTTTTATTCCACTTAGAAGCTCACCACTTACTGAAACAGTTGACTGGCAGAGCATTCGACTCCAGGAAATCATAACGGATGATCAGAGGGAAGGTGGGCGGGTACCAAGGACTATTGAAGCAGAGTTGATGTTTGATTTAGTGGACATTTGTGTGCCTGGTGATGTTGTCACTTTATCGGGGGTGATAAAAGTAACCAGTACTGATGAAGGTGGATTCAAGGCAAACAGAGACAAATGTATGTTTCTTTTGTACATTCTTGCTAACTGTATTTCCAGCTGTAAGGGAACATTTATTTCATCCTCAGATACAAGCATGGCTTCTGTAGTTGGTTTAGAATTTAATCTTAAAGATCTTTATGCCATTCAGGCCATCCAAGCAGAAGAGAATCTTTTTCGTCTTCTAGTGGCATCCCTCTGTCCAACTATCTATGGCCATGAAATGGTTAAGGCAGGACTAGTTTTGGGCTTAGTGGGTGGTACTCAAAAATATGTTGATGATAACAATCGCATTCCTATAAGAGGAGATCCACACATTTTGGTGGTTGGTGACCCAGGACTCGGTAAGAGCCAAATGCTTCAAGCCTGTGCTAACATAGCACCTCGGGGTGTATACGTCTGTGGAAACACAACAACAACATCTGGACTAACCGTAACATTATCCAAAGAAGGTTCAAGTGGGGAATATGCTTTAGAAGCTGGTGCATTAGTACTTGCTGATCAGGGCTGTTGCTGTATTGATGAGTTTGATAAGATGCCCAACCAACATTATGCTCTTTTAGAAGCTATGGAACAACAGACCATTAGTATTGCAAAGGCAGGAATAGTGTGCAGCCTTCCAGCTAGGACTTCCATTTTAGCAGCTGCTAATCCTGTTGGTGGACACTATAACAAGTCTAAGACTGTATCTGAAAACCTGAAAATGAGCAGTCCTTTGCTTTCCAGATTTGATTTGGTCTTCATTCTGTTGGATAAACCAGATGAGGTAAACATGAATGTTTTACACATAATGCTTGATAAGGTATAGAATTATGATAAAGTATTTTTAAATGAATATATTTTAGGCATATAAACATAAAGATTATAATTTTTTTCTAAAAGTACTTTTAAAACCAGTTATTTATAAATATTGAGTCATTACATTGTAATTTTTTTCATTATCATTATTAGATTTTTTCTTAGACACCTCTCAGTTAGGGTTATTTTTTAAATAAGATTCATATATAAACATTTAGAAAACATGAAGATACAGACATACTACACTGTCTACTCATACCTGAAAAATGAAGTTTTGCTATTTTTTGACATTTATGATTTAGCAGTTAAAAAAACAAGTGCTCACTATGGACATTGTTTTTAACGTTATTTTATCATAATTTGGGTCTTTAGTGTTTTTGAATGAAATGAGTAAATATTTGTATATTTGTAAGCCTAAGGAGTAATACAAAATTAAATCTAAGCTTCTAGTTTCCCCATACCATTTTTTCTCATTTTAGTGGGTAACATATGAAAGAAATTATTTCAGTTTTATGATACTAATACAGCTAAATGACAAACTTTACTTAGCCTGTGCAGGAATTACAAAATGTATACCATTGTTGAACTTTAATTCCTTTCAAAATCAATTAGTTTATTTTTTCATTGTTAACTCATATGTGAAATAATGTTGTTATGATACAAAAGTCAGAGCTACCCTTAGTACAGGAAAGCAGTAAGAATCGTAAAGGTTCTGTTGAAAAACATTTTGAAAAAAAAAGTTTTAAGAAAATAAAAAAATATAAACATGTGAAAAAATAAATATTAATTGTGAGAAGCCAGGTAGTGCTTTGGGTTTTCAGCATATAAGGAATTATTTAACTTTGAAATAGCAACAGATGATGATAATCACATCAATGAAGTTCCAAGAAATACTGCACAGTGATCAAATGATATCAAGATAACTACTTGTATTAAAAGATCCACTGAAAGTAAAAAGTTTAAAATATCTATAGGAGATCTTGAAACTTTGGCTCATTTATTGAGTTAAAGTAGTGATTTCAAAACTGTGTGTCATGGAAAGTTGCTAGGGGTGTCACAAGAGTTTCACCAAACGAAGAATAATTATGAACATAAATTACAAAAAATTGCATGTGGCAGAAAGGATGTCCTGCAAATCAAGGTAAGTGGGTTAGGGTATCTCCAGTGAAAAAATGTTTGGGACCACTGAGTTAAAGGAATTGCAGTGTACTGTTCCTACTACTAGCTCTTTGCTTCAGTACCATTTATCTTGGCTGATAATGGTATGAATGAAGAACATACAGAATAATTATGAACATAAATTACAAAAAATTGCATGTGGCAGAAAGGATGTCCTGCAAATCAAGGTAAGTGGGTTAGGGTATCTCCAGTGAAAAAATGTTTGGGACCACTGAGTTAAAGGAATTGCAGTGTACTGTTCCTACTACTAGCTCTTTGCTTCAGTACCATTTATCTTGGCTGATAATGGTATGAATGAAGAACATACAGATAATTATGAACATAAATTCAAAAATTGTACATGTAGGACAGTAAAGGTAAATGTCCTGTCAAATACAGGTAAGTGGTTAGGGTAT